AAAGATTCACGTGACTTCCTACACAGTGTTTCAAATCATTACTGAAAATAATAAACTGCAGAAAATTTGGGATGATATCATGAATAATCCACTTCTAAAAATGAAAACTACGAATCCATTTAGATGGGTGTGTATGGCTAGGGTCTAATTATGTAATCATAAATGATAGATAATGTTAATACCTTCACCTTTGGCTTCGCTAATTCGTTGTTACTGATTACCTTGTTCTTGGAAGAAGCAGATGATGAGTATTTCCTTTTACGGTCATAGTTAACCACCACATGAGTCTTGTTATGGTCTCTTTTGCTGACGACTTCTTCACCTTTTCTCCAAATACCCTTTTTATTAGTCTCCCCTTGACTATCAGTCTTCTCGGACGACGACGTCGTTGTAATCGTCGACGCAGCATTCACGTGATCGGATAATTCTCCAGCTAAGATCTCAGGGTCCATCTCCAAGTCAGGAAGTACATCTCCGGCGACACCGAACAGATCGTCGAAGTCAATGATGTCAAGAAGATCGCCGTGTTCAGTGAAATCCAGGAAGCCCTTTTCCTCTGGATCAGTGGTGAATTCACACGATGTTAGAAGGAACTCTTGACTTTCCATCGCAGCAGTCATACTTTGTCGAGTTCCTCGCCGAAAAGATAGCTAACATCGATCAGTCTTCAATTCTTTCAGATCCAGCTTAAATTAAAGCCAATTATATAGTTTGAGAGAGAAAGAAAGAGATATGTATGTAAATGTTAAATAGTATAGAGGGAGACATGTTTTGTTAACCTCTTTGCTCTCACAAAAGCCAAATACTGTATGATAGGTTTGAAAATCAAACAATTTCCAAATGAGAAAAGATGAGGGTAACTTAATCATATGCTATATTTATAGAAAGAAAGAAAACTATTAAATATATTATGTGCATATATACCATTTATTCAATAGAAAATGATTATGTTTATTTATATATTTGTATGTCTCTATATATATACCACAAATGTTGCGTTTGAAAGTTGAAAGAATTGATACATAAACTTGTATCTATATATTGCGTTTGACATAATAGATACATAAACATGACAGAAATGCAAACACAAGCAATTATAATTTAAACAAATACAAAAATGTTATCTTTTGTATGATTATATATTTGTATATATATAAGATTTCCCTTATTCCATTTACGTAGGAAAACTAATTAATTGGGTTGCCTCTTTCCCGTTTTGATGGCAACGCAACCAAGAAAATTGGGTTGCCTGTTTTGAAAGTGGAGAGAGCTTTGGGCAGATTGGATCAGAACCACAACTTTGAGGTTCAATAATTAAATTTTGCATTTGTCTCTTTACTATTTTTGGTCTGTCACAACATTATTGTATCTGTTCCACTGTATAACTTTCTATAAACATATTATTTAAAATATTTTAATTTCGGTAATAGTTAAAACATTTTCTGAAAGTTGTTCGTAATATAGTTTGGACAACGTTTTGCTAAATTTGGTAATGCTTTACGCAACAACTTTCTTAGAATGATCTCAACAACATTTTACAGGTCAAATTTCGAAAAAAAAGTTGAGTTACGTAAATAACTTTAGTGGTTTAAATTGTTGTTTCTTGTTCTACTTTGATCTGTTAACTTCATGCTTTCCATTGTTTGGAAGTTTGGATTTAATTCTTAGAGCATCATTATCGGTATCCGCACCCCTTAGGTATTAATAATCATTTGTTTAAACCGAAATGAGTAGGAAACGTGGAAAACGTATGTTAATTAAAAGGTGTTTTAATCACGTCCTTAAGGGCACATGTCATCGAAGGAGAGGAAGACCGAATGGGAGAGAGATAGACGCATGAACCATCTCGACTTCATTCTCATCGTCTTCGTTCTCTCCTTCTCTCTCAACTGGAGAAATGTAGAACAATGTTGGAACTAAACCAACTTCATTCCCTCATGATCAAATCCTTTGTTATCAAAAACATCATCCCTCTAAGCCGTCTCATAGACTTCTGCACCACCTCCCCAGAGACTATAAATCTCACCTACGCGACATCAATTTTCGAAACCATCGATTCCCCAAGCGTGTACATATGGAACTCTATGATCAGAGGCTACTCAAACAGTCAAATCCAATACAAAGCATTGACCTTTTACCAAGAAATGGTTGGGAAAGTTTATTCTCCAGATTACTTCATGTTTCCTTATGTGTTTAAAGCTTGTTCTGTGTTAAGGGATGTTAAGTTTGGGAGGTGTGTTCATGGGTTTGTTGTGAATATGTATGTTTCCACTTGTTTGGTTCATATGTATATGTGTTGTGGTGAAGTGGAGTGTGGTTTGAGGGTTTTGGAAGATGTGCCGAAGTGGAATGTTGTTGCTTGGGGGAGTTTGGTGTCTGGTTTTGTGAGTAATAATCGGTTTAGAGAGGCTATTGAGGTGTTTAGTGAGATGGAGAGACATGGTGTGAAGGTTGATGAGATGGTTATGGTTGATCTTCTTGTTTCCTGTGGGAGATGTAAAGATATTGAGAGAGGGGAATGGTTTCATGGGCTTCTTAAAGAGTTAGGCTTTGATCCGTTTTTATAGTCAGGAGATGATTTTAATGTGATATTGGCTACGAGTTTGATTGATATGTATGGGAAATGTGGAGAGTTGAGAACCGCGAGGTATCTGTTCGATGAAATGCCTAAGAGAAGCTTGGTTTCTTGGAATTCGATTTTTACAAGGTGTTGGTGTCAAAATCTGTCACGACGGAATCAATGGCTAAAAGTCTCCGCAAAAATAAAAATACGTTTTATAAAAAAACCGAGAAGTTGTTTTATAAAATTCTAAGGATTTTCCGAACAAAGGAAATCCGCGGAAAACTTGGGAATCGTCATCTCGGAAGAACAAACGAAACAATCGCCGATTACACGATTGCCCAAGTTAAGAGAAAAACAGCAAACAAACCGCATCCGCCATAAACCGTAAGCAGGTTTGACCGAACCAAGTTTAAAGAACGACGAGCCGAACCAGCCGGTTCTGCTCGCCGTACGGCGAACTGGTCGGTCTCGGACCAGCTCGCCATATGGTGAGCTGAACCAACCCGTTTTGGCTTGCCGTACGTCGAGCTGACCGTCCCGAGCCTCGATCTCCCACGTCCTCGACTCAAGGCATACGTCCTTCAGTTCGATCATGCTCTGAACTATGGACGAAACGTCTCTTGTTTCGTCTCGATCCGTCTTACCGTTCAAATTTTATGATAAGAATCGTAAAAGTCTTCTTTTCTCGTAAAGTTTGGGAATATCGTATAAAACGGCAACGATTAGACGGAACATCGTGCATTGTCAAACTATACGATCAACATACGTATCCTTCGCGAAGGCTCAAACAACAGTACCATCTACCACCAAGTTTGTTGTTGATCACAACAAACTCGCAACAGTCCTAAACAAACTTAAGTTATCTCACAGAGATAGCTCTCATACACCCGACACGAGGGTAATAGCACTATAAAAGAAATCCAAAATTTTGGTCAGCACTTCCGGGAAGCTTAGAAATTGTCCCCGGTGAGATGCTCGATTCCAACCAGATGAGTCGTATAAGCCGAGAACCTATCGCGAACTCTAAATCGGTATGGAATCAGGTTAAAATTGCAACAGGCAAAACGAAAGCAGACTAGTCATCGCATAGCCTCAATCCGCAAGTAAACCTAGGTCTTGCCTAGACCCAGCACACTGGTCTCTAACGTCTCAAGGCATGATTCGAGATCCTAAAGGCATGTCTCTTCGTTCATATCTAAACGCTTACCGAATTTTGAAACATTCCGGAACGAGCAAACGAACAGGGCGATCTACAAAAAGAGTTAGACTATGAGACGAAAACTCATATAGTTGCCTCTACATTAATACGAATAAAAACACGTTCTTAAAAATGCAAACTGATTTATAATAAAGCCGCAAAAGACGCATGGACTCAGAACCACACACGACCAGTCCGAAAACTATAACGACCACATTCGGCCAGAACAAACAGCCTACGAGGCTAGTCTCAAGGCCAGCAAAGGTCCAACACACATAACCAAACTGTAAAGGTCTTACTGGAAAACAGGTCATCCGAATCTTAACTCCAAAACGAACTACGAAAGGCTTGATCCCTTCAATAGGGTACGTAGGTAGCCTTCACAAGGCGCAGCACTAATCTTAAACGATTTCCGCTCCCTGGAGAATGGAAAGATCACTTTCAACGGACCTTTCCAACCATTAATTCCGCATAACTTACCTAAAACTGGCTAACCTCACGCTAAAGGCTCAAGGTTCGAGCGACCGGGGGGGCTAACTGTTGGTGTCAAAATCGGTCACGACATAATCAATGGCTAAAAGTCTCTGCGAAAATAAAAATACGTTTTATATAAAAACAAGAAGTTGTTTTATAAAATTTTAAGGATTTTCCGAAAAAAGGAAATCCGCAGAAAACTTGGGAATAGTCATCTCGGAAGAACGAACAAAACAATCGCCGATTACACGATTGCCCAAGTTAAGCAAAAAACCGCAAAAACCGCATCCGCCGTAAACCGCAAGCAGGTTCGACCGAACCAAGTTCAAAGTACGATGAGCCGAACCAGCCGGTTCAGCTCGCGGTACGGCGAACTGGTCGGTCTCGGACCAGCTCGCCGTACGTCGAGCTGACCGTCCCGAGCCTCAATTTCCCACGTCCTCGACTCAAGGCATACGTCCTTCAGTTTTATCACGCTCTGAACCATGGTCGAAACGTCTCTTGTTTCGTCTCGATCCGTCGTACCGTTCAAATTTTACGATAAGAATCGTAAAAGTCTTCTTTTCTCGTAAAGTTTGGGAAGATCGTATAAAACGGCAACGATTACACGGAACATCATGCATTGTCAAACTATACGATCAACTCGAGAAATCTTATAAAAACGGCATTGTGTCAGGAAACGATCTCGTTTAAAATCGTAAAACGGTTTTTATCGCAAAACGGCTCGGACAGCCCAAAAACGCGATAAAGTCCACTTGCGACTCTACATGAAATCCAGCCCAAAGATACAATGACGGTTTAAAGATTTACTCGCAGAAAGAAGATAAATGTCAAGTTTGGAGATAAATAGAAGATTTTCGCAAGAAAATTGGAAAGATCAAGATAAATAGAAGATTTCCGATAAACTCAAATCTGGGCAAAAAGGAAGAACTAAACTGCCTAGGAAAGGAGTATATAAGCAGAAGGCAGATGACAGAAGCAAAGTACGATTTTTCAGACCTTTCACCACCAAACTTAGCACTTAGGAATATTTCTGTTTTTGTTAGCGAGCTGCGCCTCAACTAGGGTTTTAGTCTTAGATTGCTAGGGTTAGGAATCCCGCCGACGGCTCACGCAGCTAAGGTTACTCTTGTTCTACCACTCTTACGCGAATTCGGAATAAGATCCTTCTTGTTCTCAATCTCGTTTTTCTTAACATCTTTTTACTTACTCATATTAACCGCGTTCTTGATTGCTTGTGTGCGGTTCCACAGATAGTCGGGTCCTCTGGGAAATTAGGGTTTACTCTAAATTCCTAAATTTACGTAATCTTGACAGAGGTGAATTTCGGTTCCCACACAAGGTATAGTCAAAGCGGTGACGCAGAGGAAGCAATGCATATGTTT